CACCAACAACGTCCACTTCTTTATTCTCAGTCTCAGGCACCTTTTATGGGTATGTCCCACTATGCCCTGTTTCAGTCAGCCGAAATCATGTAACACAACCCCCGGCGGCAAAAGCGTCGACCCGGCAAGCTTACGGGGCCAAAGCAGGAGCAGAGAGGTAACGCTTGAGCCTTGAGAAGTGGACGATGTCCCGGGACAGCAGAGCAGAAGAGGTTGATGAATTATCAGGGACAATTTTTTATGCAGTGTCAGTCACTCGTCTAAGCACGCAATATGGGCCCATGAAACGAGAGAGAAGCTTCTCTGACAGGCCTGGATGTCGCATAGGGGACCAAAGAACGAGGGAACCTGTCGAAAAGTGTTTGCCGCGATGCTGCTCATCGTAACGATGCTTCTGCGAGTCTTCGGACGCCATTAATCTGCTGCGGGCAAGCTGACGAGCATGGTCAGCTCGGGTAATAGCGTCGCGTGCATATTCAGAAGTATACTGCGCAGCTGCTGGCAGGAAGGTATCGAACGGCAATAATGGTTCGCATCTACACAGAAGGTAAAATGGCAAGTACCCAGCAGTGTCATGCAGGGAGGAATTGTATGCGAACGTCGCGTAGGGTAGTGCAAGGTCCCAATTATGATGGTCGGTCGAGATGCATTTCAATAGCATGTCTGTTAGGGTGCGGTTTAAACGTTCTGTAAGCCCGTTTGTCTGGGAATGGTACGATGTCGTGAGCTTATGTTGGGTAGAGCAGGAACGCAGGATATCGTCAACCGCTTTCGAAAGGAACGTATGGCCTCGGTCTGTAAGCAGTTGACGAGGGGCTCCAAGCCCTAAAATGAGATCGCGTAGTAAAAAATCAGCGGCGTCTGTAGCACAGCTTGTTGGCATGGCTCGCGTAAATGCATAGCAGGTCGTGTATTCTGTAGCAACCGCGACCCACTTGTTTCCGGAGGCGGATGTTGGGAAGGGACTAGGAAGGTCCAAACCAACACGGAAGAATGGCTCCGATGGGATGTCGATGGGCTGAAGATACCCGGAAGGGCGTCTCGTCGGCTTTTTGCAACGCTGGCGAATTTCGCGAGCGTTGACATAACGACGTACAGAGCATGAAAGGCCAGGCCAGTAGAAACGGCGGCGCACATGGTCATATGTGCAAGACACCAAGGTGACCCGCGGTTGGCACGTCATGGAGCTCGCGTAGGACTGTGGAGCGCAGGTGCTTTGGCATGACCAGAAGTAAGTCGTGACCATTGGGCGATAAATTACGCCAATATAAGTTGTGGTCCTTTAAAGTAAACATGCGAACAGAAGCGTCTTGCGGTGAAGATTCGAGCTGTTGTATTAGGCGGCTGATATCCGGATCTCGACGTTGCCGTCCCCAAGATGAAGCAACTGGGAGATGGAAAGGACGCGACCCACAGAATCAGTGCTCGTAGGATCGCAGTTGGCCACAGGGTAGCGTGACAGACAATCCACATCTTTGTGCAGTTTTCCTGATTTATACACTACTGTGTAAGAATACTCTTGGAGGCAGAGTGCCCAGCGGGCGAGACGACCAGTGGGATCTTTGAGGGAGGCGAGCCAGCAAAGAGCGTGGTGGTCGGTGAGAACTATAAATGGTCGGCCGTATAAGTAAGGGCGAAATTTCGCGACTGCCCACACCAGCGCAAGGCATTCGCGCTCTATGATAGAATAATTACACCCCGAGGTGGACAGCAGCCTGCTAACATAAGCTATCACGCAATGCTGCCCACGTTGTCGCTGAGCAAACACAGTGCCTATTCCGTAACCGCTGGCATCGGTGCGGACTTCGGTCGGTGCCGTAGGGTCGAAGTGAGTCAGAACAGGAGAGGAAGTGAACAAAGTGGTCAGGTCGGAGAATGCTGCTGCTTGCGAGGGACCCCAGGTGAACGTCTCATCTGGTTTGAGTAAATCTGTTAGAGGCCGAACAATTTCCGCGAAGTTCTTAATGAACCGCCGATAATAGGAGCAGAGCCCCACAAAGCTGCGGACATCTTTGCCGGTTTTTGGCACAGAAAAGTCCTTCACAGCTCGAACATTTTCTGGGTCAGGCTGTACGCCGTAAGCGTCAACAGTATGTCCAAGTATTGTAATGTGGCGGCGACCAAACCGGCACTTGGATGAATTCAGCTGAAGGCCGGCGAGACGGAATACATCAACAATTTTGGACAGTCTCTCAAGGTGCGCTTCAAAAGTGGGAGCAAACACAATCACGTCATCTAGATAACAGACACGTAGACCACTTGAATCCATGGAGCAGGGAGTCCATCATTCGTTCAAAGGTGGCAGGGGCATTGCATAGGCCAAAAGGCATGACTTTGAATTGGTAGAGGCCATCGGGTGATTGAGGTGTCTCCTCTCAATCGATGGGGTCCACGGCAATTTGCCAATAACCAGAACGAAGATCGATGGAAGAAAAGTAGGCGGCACCATGGAGGCAATCAAGGGCGTCAGGGCAGAGAGTATGCTTCTTTCTTGGTGATGTTGTTAAGGTGGCCAAAGTCCACACAAAATCTCCAGGATCCGTCCTTGTGATGGCACACCAACAGGTGTGCCATCAACATATACTTCAAGGGTGTTCCGGTTCAAACGTAAGGGCAACAGAGGATTTTTGGGTAAGGTCGGCAGGGCAGCTTCCCCTCCAGAAGCTGCGCAGCCTAGTTTTCCCGAGACATGCGGCGGTTAAACGATGGCGAGGGAGAGCGGCGACGCGTATTTGGATGAGAAGGGCGGCTTTCAGGCGGCGGCGACGACGGGACAGGGTTGACGTAGCCCTCAGGGGCAGTAAATGCTGTAGACTCAGTGCGGGTCGAATAACGGTGGTTTGGTGGATGGAAGGTGTTACTGTAAGCGGGGTACGAGCCAGAAAGCATAGATGGACACTGGCTGCGGCAGTAACGAGCGATGTGTCCTGCACGAACACAGCGGAAGCATATTGGCTTCTCATGAGCTGTTCGCCATTCAGACAGGTTTCTGGTTCGAATAGAGTACGGACGGCGTCGTCTCACGTCCACAGAAGCTATCGAGAATCAGTATTATCCAAGGTGGGTGCAGTGGACAGGAAACCCAGTTTAGTGAATTCCTGGCGAACAAAAAAAAGCCTGGAGCCAAGGAGACAGCTGTTGTTGAGGCGTCTTGCAACGTCAGTTTGTTGGCAGCCGGTAAGCGGCCTCAAGTTCCCGTCGAACGATGTGCGTCATGTCTTCGGTTGTAGACGGATGACAAGGAGTGGCTTCGCAAGACGACGTTGCAGCGGTGTTGGGTAGGCGCTGGAACTGGTGCAAAATGCGTCGACTCTTCGCCTGCTCGAGACGGCGGCACTTTTTGATCACGGCGTTGATGGTCGTTACGTTCGTAAATAGAAGCAGGCTGAACACATTGTCGGCGATTCCTTTTAAAACGTGCAAAATCTTGTCGGCCTCAATCATGTTGGGATCGGCCCTTTGACACAACGCTAAGATGTCTTGAATATAAGTCAAGTAGGGCTCAGTGGACGTCTGTGTACGTACGGCCAATCGCTTTTGGGCATCAAGCTGTTGACCAAACGGGTTGCCAAAGAGGTTGCGGAGCTGTTGTTTAAACATTTCCCAGCTTGTGATTTCGTGCTCGTGGGTCTCAAACCAGATGCGAGGGGTCTTGTCAAAATAGAAAATGACATTCGCAAGCATAACGGTTGAGTCCCAGCCATATTGCTTGCTGACGCGCTCGTACATACTAAGCTACTTGTCCACATGCGCATTGTCCTCTCCAGTAAAGAAACCGAGACCACGGTGTTGCGTTAGGGCGACGTACCGGGTTGCTGTCGTTGCCGAGGTAGGTGGCGAAGTCGTATCTTCACCCGGAGCCATGGTAGCAGACTTAAGGAGGTGTTCAATGTGTAGCTCGGTTGTCAAAAGAGCACCCAGCACTTTCACCAAAATGTCCCGTGGAAAATAAGAGTAGTCAGTCCGCAGCCACAATGCAGCAGCTCACCAAAAACGTCCACTTTTCAGTCTCAGGCACCTTTTTGGGTATGTCCCACTATGCCCTGTTTCAGTCTGCCAAAATCACGTAACAATGTTTTTTAGTGCAAATGGGAATAAAAAGGAAGAACTGCCCGAGAAGACAAGAAGACAGTGTTAAGTGCTTGCACTGTGCACTGTCTTCTTCTCTTTTCAGGTAGTTCCTTTTTTTTTTTTTCCTGTTTGCGCTAAAGAATATGACATCAGGGACGTCCTTTTCCTTTTAACAGTGCTAGTCTCATGTGGCAGTAATATGCAATCTCGAAACTATGCGACAATGACTTGAAAACACGGAAGTCTGCAGCTCATAAGAGCTGTCAGCATGTAGAGCAGACGATCTTTGCACCAGTTGCTACAAGCCACAGCATGACAGACCAATGCGGCGCCGCCAAACAGTCCCATGGGGTGCGCCGCCAAACAGAAACAGTGGTGATTACCTTGAAACATTTGCTTGCTGTGTGCTCCCTGTCGCCTAGTTCAGCCGCCTGAGGTGGCAAATTTGAAGATAGAGAATCGCGCTATTCACAGAGACCAAAATGGCGGCGCTAGGTTACAAGGATGTAGAAACATCAAGCCTCAAAAAAGTCATTTTTTGCCATTTTCACAAAATTCATCGCCAGCTTAACACTATTAAACATTTTTTGCGCCAGTTTTATGTTACTTTTTGTGATAAAATTTCAGAACTAAATAGAAAAGTGTCACAGAATGTGAGAATGCAATATTAAACAAATCCCTGTTTTGGCCAAATTCCGCAATTGCAAAGCCACGTCCTCCATTGAACATGCTCCAGATAACTTTCTCATATTTTGCCGCAAACCGAAAAACAAGTCACACCTTTTCTTCACAAACATCAATTTACTGGTCATTGCAAATGCATCTTTGAGTCCCTTCAGCCTCTTCTGTTTAGGGAAGCATTTTGTTTCTGTAAGGGTTGCACGCTTCATTCTTCCCAACTGCAACGGAGTTCCGAACGATTGCCTCACCTTTGGGAAGATTCACCGAAGGCACAGGGGGCAGGTCCAGAACAGCTCGGGCCTCGTCTTCCGAAACCAGGGCCTCCAACTCCGCTAGCACTGCCTCGTCATCTTCGGCACTCAGTTGGCCACTCAATAGGTCGTCAATCTCCTAAAAAATATGAACAGCACAAAACATGTCAAGAGGTGCAGACCCGAAAGTTTAGAGCTGTCACTCTTTTGCGTGAAATACAAGCCGAAGCCCTCAAGAGCCTAGCACACCCTAACAGGGTTCGTACAGCTTTCCAAAGCGAAAATTCAAGGATCTTCAAGGACTTTCCAGGACCTTCAGCAGGTTTCTCAAAAACAGCATGTAAGGTTGGAATTATTTTCTCTGATATTTCAAAAAATAGCTAGTTTTATTGCACTTAAAAAATAAGTACCACAATTACAACAAAAATGTTTTGATCACTTTTCCCAAAACCGTAACGCACAATGATCAATTACAAAAGCGGCTGAGATTTTTCCCGTATAAGCTTGAAGTTCAAGCATATTTTGAACATTCAGTATGATGTTATTTCACTTTATTTATCAAGATAACTAAATGTAGAGGAAGTATGCACTTGAGATCATCCGTGAGAAGCGTTAGCAGTGCAGTTATCATCTTGTGAGCTCGTGCACTGTCAAAAAACTTGGCTGCACGCGCTGTGACACACAGCGTGTACAGAGACCAGAGACCTACAGAACACCTCCTCTACGCGGGTGCACGGACGGCCCGTGCAAATAGGCCTACGAAATGGTGCGATAATGGTATTGCCACCTTGCAGATTAAGGCCCAGTGCATACACCTGTATCACAATTATAATAATAACGACTAGCTTTGATCACTTCGCAAGTCCACAAGAGTACACAGAAAAGTTAACACACAACGGACACTCCTATTGGCTGCACTGAATCATACTGTAAAATCCAAGCACATTCATCAAACATCTCCAAAACATTCAGCACACTCCTGTTACATTGTCATTAAATGTTAGTATATCACAATTATGTAAAACATATATAATCTTGATTGCTTCTCAATCATGATATGTCAAATTATCACACAATGAATACAAATACCAGCTGCTCACACATCCCAATGTGATTCGGCATCGTGTTATTCCCCACACAACTTATTATCATGAATGGTGGGCTCGGCGGCTGTGTATCAACACACACCGCTAAACCATTCACTCTTATGATGCAGGTGTTTCAGTGCACATTCATGCGCATACTGCTTTGCGCCATCGTGCTAGCATCCATGACCGCTCCCCTGCAGTATCGACCGTGTTGCCGTGACGGTGGCATTTTTACCTGTCACACCCACCTGGTCATCGCCAAGAGGTTATCTACCACAAGGTTCTAGGAGTCGCCGGATTTCACTAATTCAACGACTCTGCACCTCTTCTGGATCCGCCACACAACTACGTAGTCCTCGATGAAACCCGGTTTACTCTGTTGCAATCGACATCGGCGTTTGTGCCGGCTATAAAAGAGCTGTCTTTCCCGCAGCACTGTGTGGGCTCGGCAGCTATGTATCAACGCAGAACACTAATCCATTCACTCTTATCATGCAGGTTAGTAACTCTTACAGTCTTTTTGCTAAGAAGTTTAGTAATTACCTGTTGTTCCAGCTGCCAAGCCCACACTGCTGCTGTCTTCTCGCGTGTGAGTGTTCTTGTGCGATTCGTGCCTTGTTATTAATGCCGGGTAATATTGAAAACAACACAAGTCCTGTATCTAATGCTGTAGTTACCGAACTGCAGAAATTATCTACTGGTCAGACAGAATTACTTAGCCAGATGCAGAACCCGAAGTCCCATTTATAATCTACGCATAAATCCATCGCAGATCTTATTAGACGCATCAGTGATCTAGAAGGGCATTACCAAAATATTCTTTCCTTGCGTTCTGACGTGGAATCACTGAAAGTGGGCACCACTAACGTGCCTGACACATTGCACAAGATTGAGGCGCACAAGGACGAGGCCGAGAATCGCTCTCGGCACAATAATCTTATTTTTTATGGCCTTCTTGAATCAACAGGATGAGAAACGCTTGCCCAAGCTGAGCAACTTGTTATCAAGCCCTGCCGTGATCATCTAGGTATTTTTGTTGATCCAAAAGAAATTGAGCGTGCACAACGTCTGGGTCGCCACAAAGATAATAACCGCAATCGCCCCGTAATTGCTAAATTCACCTTCCATAAAACAAAACAAGCGATACTTTCTAACAGTCGGAAATTTAAGAAAACCATTTCTCGTCCTATTCAATACAACCACCGACATCCGATTGCTTTCACTAAAACCAAATCGTTGCCTTTCTCGTTGAATTACAAGACACTGCTTATGGGTCTCAAGCACTACATTTACGATGAGCAATCTCAAACTGTGAAGGAAGTATCGTAGTGGTTACCTCAGGGTAAATCCAACTGGAACACCGCCATACCTCACCCTAAATCTAGCCTGTCGCTGTCGGTAAGTCTTCTCTAACGCGAGCAGTTTTTTCCAAAACGAGACGCTTGTTATGACCTTGTTTTATCGTCCAGCAGTAACATTTTGGTAATAATTGAGATATGACTAACAAATAATGTAACCAATGCAGGGGTGCCTAGATCACCTGCCAGAATTTCACCTTTATCCGAATTACCGTACGGGCGCATCAGGGGGCGGTGTTCTGATAGCCGTGAATCAACAATTATCGTGCTCTTTGGTCAGGACCAACGCTCCCGAGCTTGAAATTCTCTGGGCCGTTTGCCGTGCTTACCCCCAATACCGTTCTTATAGGTGTCTGTTATAGGCCTCCACATAGTATCCCAGATTTCAAACTAAACAATAATCTGAGTGACCTTAGTAGGCGTTAGCCAAGAGCGGGGATACTCCTTTTTGAAGATTTCAATATTACTCAAATAGATTGGAGTGATAGCGTCCCGTCAGCTGTAGGCTGTGAGTCCGCAAGAGATTTCGTAGACTTCTGTCTCAACTGCAATCCAACCCAACTGGTATCCCAACCAACGCGTGCCACAGAAAGCAATTCCACTATCTTAGCAATCTAACCCAACTGGTATCCCAACCAACGCGTGCCACAGAAAGCAATTCCACTATCTTAGATTTAATACTGACTAGTTACCCAGAGAGCCTATCGTCAATAATATATCGACGCGCCATTAGTGACCACAAGGCAATCCATGCGACTTTCTTGTTTCAACCTACAAAACGCGATTTAGTCACTAAAACGATCCACCTTTATGACAAAGGCAATTAGAGCGTCTTGAGTATTGAACTGGTGTCTTTCCTTTGCGAATTCGAAAGAATAAGTCAAACACACTCTGTTGATAGAAACTGGGTCATATTTAAAAATAAGCTAGCCACTCTAGTGGAGAAGTTTATTCCTAAAACCACGTTCACCGCGAACCAAAATAAGCCATGGCCATACACTTAGGAAATTAAAAAACAATAAGAAACATCTATTTCGATCAGCTAAACAGTCTAAGCATATATTTGTCTGCATGGAAGAAATATTATGCCGCTGAAGATGATTATCTAAGGGCTACACAAGACGCCAAGCACTCTTTTTTTCATGAGGAGTTACCTAAAATGCTTGCAAACAGCCGTCACAAATTTTGGCGAGTGATGAACCCTTAGGAGAAGCGCACAATAAGTGTTCTAAAGGCGAATGGTGATGCACCTAACAACATTGAATGTGCAAATACTTTTAGCGAGGCTTTTTTCTCTGTTTTTAGCAATGAAAGTCCACTTTCTGAGCTTTTTTTCACTTTCTAGTAGTACGGAGCCTATGTCCCCAATTATTTTTTCTACGAGCAGGATCATTTCAATCATTGAAAATATTAAGCTTTCATCGTCTGCAAGCCTAGACGATATAACTCAAAACTCTTAGTAAACATTAAACATGTGTGTGCCACGTACCTAACTTTGTTATATTCACAGTCAATATTATCAAGCAATCTGCCACCAGACTGGAAAGTGGGGAAGGTTATTCCAGTCTTCAAATCAGGCAACAGAAACTCGCCACTAAATTATCGTCTCATATCATTAACTAGTGTCCCCGGTAAAATCATGGTTGTCACGGACGGCTATTTTTGGCGACACCGCGTCACGGCAATTAACGGGCGCCGTACTCCCCGACTGACCGTGAGAAACGGCGGCGCTTGAAAGGGAGCCGAGAAGTGCAAAATGGGGTGCTCTTCTTAGAACGTCGCCGCCGACAGTTAATCCTTTTGTAACTGTGGCGACGTCTGCAAGGTCGTAGAAGGCCGCGGTATACCCCGAACAAGGATTAGACTACAAAACGCACCGACTGAGAGCCAAACGTTTGACCGTTCCCACGGGGAAAAGCGTGGGAAACGCTCTGGTGGCCAAGCCGTATGACAACAACCCAACAGGTTGTCACTCTCGCTAGTTGAGGGTCCTCTCCCAATTAAAAAGAGGTGGGGTCAAAATATTTTTCGGGCGGAGTTTCCCATCAATTAAACGCGCATGATTGGACCCAGGTAGAGGTCTCTTGTCCCCAAGGAAGAGAGCGAAGAGACACGAGGGGGATTTAAGCGCAGGATTTTGCCCTGCTAGGCAGACTAGTCGCTGACCAAGATGGTGTAGAAACAGATCAACAAGCATCTCTTCTAGAAGTTTTTAGTGTGGCTCTGTACCGGCTGGCCACCTAAACTTAGCCGTTCGTCTAGTTGTGACGCGATATCAACGTCTGCAACGTAGACATCGGGACTTCGCCTCGAGTTAGCTCAACCTGCTCGAAGTCACCTCCAAGCACTAGCCTCCCGGAGCCACCAGCGTTGCAACACCGCCGACATCGCAGTCGTGCCAGAACTCTCTTCGACTTCTCGCATCCGATCGTCGGGAACGCAACGCTGCCGGTCATCACACGTATGCCTCACCTGTTTATATCTTGGAACTTTCTCCTCCGTCGTTCTATTCTTGATTGTTTGTGTAGTTTGTAATAGTTCTCTCTCGTAAGCTGATTTCTTGTTTCTGTTATATATTTCTTTAGTTGTATCCAGTGTCGATGTATTTTGTTAGTTGTATTGAAGTGTTGTAATAGATCCCATGTGCTGCAATATTACTAGAGTAAAGTTACTAGAGTAGAGTTAGTGCTTGA